CCAGAGGCATGTAGATTAGGCTACCAGACATAGGAAAATGAAGCGGCAATTTAAATAATCGCCGCTTCATTTAAATTTACACGGCTGCAGCGCTGAGCCGACAAACAGCTGATCAGCTGTTTGTCGGCTCAGCGCTGCAGCCGTGTAAATTTAAATGAAGCGGCGATTATTTAAATTGCCGCTTCATTTTCCTATGTCTGGTAGCCTAATCTACATGCCTCTGGCGACAGAGGTATGTAGTCTAGACGTACCCCTAGACACATCAGGAAGACAGTGACTTTCAGTTTAATTATTCCTACTTATAAGTTCATTGGTCTGTCTGCATATCTAGTTTTTGTTCACTCTCTCTTATGAGCTCCTTTTAATTTCAACTTTTGAATAAGTTAAAGGGCTAATTCTCAAGAGTCAGATAGTAAGAAAAGACAGTAAAATGGGCACTTAACACAGAAATATATATTTAGGCTTTATTTTAAAACAAGGTCGGAAAGGGTCACTGAAATGAATAAAAAAAACAAACACTTATGATTCCTTCCCTCAATTTCAATTTTAAAATTTCCCTCCGACTTAAAATATCCATCCAAGCTGTTAGAGATCCAGACACAACAACATAGTGGTAGGAGGGAAGGGAACCCTGAAATGAAATTGACAGGGCAAGAGCCAAATCCCGCTCACCTAGGCTCTTATATCTAGCCCATGCAGCAGTTCTCAGCCCCGCCCCTTAACGCTTAGCCTGGGAGTCAGGGACACATGAGCCCTTTCAATTACTTCTATTTAAAAGGCTTCCGCCTTCCTGGTGGCTCCTAAGGCACAAGTACAGGAGCCCTTTCAACTGCTTCTATTTAAAGGGCTTGCTCCTTCCCAGAGGCTGCTAAGGCACAAGCCCCTTAAATAGAAGCAGTTGAAGGGGTCATAGCTCCCGGCTTTGCCTAGAAACTGCAGGGGAGGTGCAAGCTCTTACACTTGTTTCTATTTAAAGGCCCTGCCCCTTCCACCAGAGGCCCCACAACCACTTTGAAAATTTGTGAAGAGGCCACTCCAATCTAGCTTCATCATTTTAAACTGAAAAACAAAAAGTAAACAAGTATCAGGAGTAGCCATATTAGTCTGCATCTGCAAAAGCAACAAGGAGTCTAATGGCACGTTAAAGCAAGAGTAGAGAACCTTTTTAGGGTTGGGAGACACTGATCCACAGAAAAATCAATTGAGGGCTGCACACAAGTAAGAACCCAAAAAAACCCAAACCAAAAACAAAATCCACTACTCACTGACGTGGCCAACTGAAAAGGAAAAATACACTTCCCACATTCCCCTTGCACAACAGAGCCTAGAGAGGCCCAGCTTAGTAGATCATAGAATACTACTTAGGAAAAACTTCCTAATTGTCTGGGTGGTTAAACGCTGGAACAAATTGTATAGAGGGGATTATGAAATCTACATCACTGGAAATACTTAAGAGCAAGTTAGACAGACATCTTTCAGGGATAAAATACAGGACTATGTAGCACTTTAAAGACTGACAAGATAAATAACCTAATAAACCATCTTGTTAGTCTTTAAAGTGCTACATAGTCCTGTATTTTATCCCTGAAAGATGTCTGTCTAACTTGCTCTTAAGTATTTCCAGTGATGTAGATTTCATAATCCCCTCTATACAATTTGTTCCAGCGTTTAACCACCCAGACAATTAGGAAGTTTTTCCTAATGTCCAACCTAAAGCTCGCTTGCTGCAGTTTAAGTCCATAACTTCCTATCCTATCCTCAGAGGCCAAGGAGAACAATTTGCCCCATCCTCTCTGTGACACCCTTTAGATACTTGAAAACTGCTATCATGTCGCTTCTTCTCTTTTCTAAACTAAACAAGTCCAATTCTTTAGTCTTCCCTCATAGGTCATGTTTTCTAGACCTTTAATCATTTCTGTTGCTCTTCTCTGGCCCTTCTCCAATATCTCCACATCTTTCTTGAAATATGGTGCCCAGAACTGGACACAATACTCCAACTGAGGCCTAATAAGCGCAGAGAAGAGCAGAGGAATTACTTCTCGTGTCTTGCTCACAACACTCCTGTTAATGCAGGGGCTTTTTTTTTTTTTTTTTTTTTTGCAATAGTGTCACACTGTTGACTCATATTTAGCTTCTGGTCTACTATGACCTCTAAATCCCTTTCTAGATTTGTATGTGCTCTTCTGTGGTGGGATGGGGAAGGGAGGGATTGGAGTACCAGCCCAGGCTCCCCAATGCTGGGAGGAGCATCTAGCCTCCGGGACTTAGCTTCCCTAGCCTTAGGATTAAAGGCTAACAGATTTATTTGGGCATAAACTTTTGTGGGGTAAAACCCATTTCCTCAGATAAGTTAGAGTGGAATTACAGAGGCAGACATTAATATACTAGCACAAGAAAAGAAGGGAGTTACCTTATCAAGTGGAGGACTGGTACTCACTAGCCCAATTCAGTCAGGGTGGATGTAGCCCACTCCTGACAGCTGATGAGGAGGTGTGAATACCAAGGAAGGGATGCTCAAATAAATATGTTAGTCTTTAAGGTGACACAGGACTCCTTGTTGTTGTTTTTTAAAAGTAATCAGAGTAAAGCAAATCAGATTTTTAAAAATACTGTCAGGTTTCATAACCAAAGGATTCACATAGAGGTAAAAATTCAAATATTTCTCTCTTGATAGTGCTCTTTGAATTCAATTACTATGATAAGATTACCGGGGGGGGGGGGGGGGGGGTGAAAAAAAAACACAAA